CACAAAATTGTTAATTTCATTTGCCATGGTTTATAACAACTTTGTAGCCGTTATCTTCGACAATTTCAAGGATGCCTCTCCTTTTATCTCCGGATGTACAATTGAAAGCATCGATGACTTTCTGATCGAACCTGGTGTTGGGCTACCTCAGACTGGCCCCCTTGAAGTCTCTGTTCATGACATCACCAATGTGATCTCAGCTGAGCAGAAACTTCGAGGACTCCATTTTGATGCTAAATTTTGTAACCTCTTCACTCTCCCATTGGATATTTCCCCTGAACTGGAGTCGGATAACGCGCTTCTAATTGTCCAAATTGGCAACTTCGCTATTCCTCTGGAAAAGCCCGTTTCAATACTTGTACCTAGGGGTAAGCGTGCTTTCTTTTGTTGGGAAAATTTCCTCATTGGTTCAATTGTTGTTGTCCTTTTTATTTCCTTTTAGGCATTCCTTACAAATTTGTTAGCATCGCTGCCAATATCATCAATGCCTCGCGTCTTAAATTTCTCCCCAAACGACCTTAAATTTAGCTTTGATTTCCTCTTAAACATTTTTTATTTATATATATGTATATATTCATGTACCTATTTTGATTTTTTGATTTGATGATTGGGGTTTGAGAATATTTTGGTTGGAAGTTTTACCGAGAAGTGTTAACAAATAGAGTCTGCATCAGATTACACTGTTAAATGTGGGTATATTCATACTGCAATTTTTTCTTAATTAGTGTACAGTTCACTGTTCCATAACGATAGTGGGGAAGTAGACGGGCGGTTTTTTGACAAACGACAAAATGATAGAAGGGTGGGTGGGTGGGTGGCAGGCGTGTATTGATATAAAGCAAGGTTAGCCCAAGCTGCCGCGTCGAAGGATTGGTCAATTTTGTTCCCACTATTTGTTCTTTGTTAAGTGCAGGGTAGAGTGGCTGTTTTCTACATCTCTAAGAGTCACTCCCTTGAATAAAGATATTTGATGCCGTTGCTAAAATGGGTCCAGGGTGTCGCAAAGTGGCATTAGAAACAACAGGTTGATCACTCCCTTTTTCCTTGTATGGGGGAAATTATTAGGTGAAATTTATTAGCTCAAACACTTAATCATATGTGGGAGATATTTGTTTTCGAGAGTAGTGGTTCGTCCTCTCAATTGCGCATAGCGTCACTGCGACAATCAGCCAGACCTCATGAAAAGTGCCTTAGGAGCACGATTGTGTTCTGTAGCATCCAAAAGGGGCCGCTGTTTAAATAATATATGTAGATATAGAAAGTAGCTCTAATTCCTCCGCTCTGAGAGTCCGTTCAAATCAGTTTAGATATTCTTTTATATATCCAGTGTAATTTAGAGGCTAACCAAATGCCACTTCTTGCGAGTGGAAATAAGAATGAGGTGAAAGAGGGAATGAGTAGGAAATGGAGTTTTGGACGAAGAGGAAGGCGCTGGAACTTAATGGAGGCTTGAGCAGGCGCTTCGAGGAGGGGGAGGCTTCTAGCTTACGTCATGTGAGTTATTACGGGATGTTTAGAAAAAGCAGGCCTGAATCAGTGTGAATACTCAATGTTGGCCTGATTCATTTAAGATGGCATAATGGCTTACTATTAAAATACCAAGTTATTTCACTCGATGTTTGATCGAACCCATACTTATTCGGGTTTTTCGTTCAGCAACATTGATGACGTATTCCAGGAGTGAAAGGAAAAAAAACTACTGCGGACCCGACAACATTCACCAATAAATTTACTTAGAGATTAATGAAGCGGCTATTGTTCGAATGTCGTACAAACTCCGTGCCAATAATTTGAGCTATATGATACTGGAAGCATGAGTTTTAGTGTTTGCACCGGGGTGTGCGATAGACTTACCTCCACGTGGTGTACCCTGGGCAACGTATACTCATACGGCAAAAAGTCCATTAACTGGCAGTTGACTTCTGACTTCAAACTACCCTCACCCCATTGTATGGCATATTCGACTACTTCAACAGTACTCATCTCACCTTTTTCCACTTTTGTGTCTGTCTCTTT